TGAAGCCCTAGGCCCTCGGGCCGGGCTTCGTGCCAACGACTGTGCAATTACCTCGGACATGGGCCGGGCGCCTTTATTTTTAATCGAGTTCATAAAAAAATTGAAACACAAATGCAGCAGTAGAGCCCTGCGCAGGACTGTTTTCTTCATCCCGCTCCTGCCCGCTCCCGCTGAATTTCTGACAATTACCGCCTGCAACCGCAACGTGTGTGTTACACTCCCGCCCACACCTGCAGCGTGCATGTCTACTCCCGCCCGCATCCGCAAAACTCGGAGAAATTATTACCTCACAATAAAAGAGATGTATTGCGTTTGCGTCCTCTCTGGTCCTGGAGAAAACATGTCACAACCCGCAGCTCTTCCATCCATCTGATGCGGCTCTCTGTGCTTGTAAAATAATGAATGGATATTTAAATAAAATGCTTTATATTTTACTGCATTAATTTTATATCTGTAAGTCAATTCTATGTAAAGATTGTCTGCGTAAACCTGAACAGGCCCAACCCGGTCTTACTGTGAGACCGGGTTGACGCGTCACGCTTGTGTGTAATCATATCGGCGCTTTCTGAGCTGAAGATGTCAGATTCTGGGCTTCTCCTCAGACGGCTCCTGGATGCGTCACCAAATTGGAGACAGGAACAAGCGCTATTCAGCCAAAGTTTCATAATCAGGGAACATTTTCAAGTGAAAAGTCTCTCTGAGAGACAGGGTTTGGAAAACACTCGCTTCAGTGGGAGGAACCTTCCCGCATGCGTTCTGGTTCTGCAACGAGCTCCAAGCCAATCTCCACAACTTCAGCTCGCTTCGCTGTGCACATATGTGCTGACAGCGAGCTGCGCTGAGCAGCTCAGATGTTCAGAAGGAAATCTTTTCTTGGGTGATTTAACTACATCTGCGATGTGTGTAACGAATAAAATGTCAGTTCGTCTACTTGCGTCGGGGTAATTCTTTCTATTCTTTCTCTGTCAAAATAAACGGTCAAATACGGGAACTGTCCGGTCAACCCAAGCCCTGCTTTTAACTGTTCTGTTTTCTTGTGGAAATTGTTGGAAAGAGATAACATTTAACTTGATTACCACCAGAGCCAGTGCGCCGTCATCTCCGTGACGGTAAACGAGGGAAAAACAAATTGATCGGATCCTGCATGTCTTTTAACACATTGGTCAGGATTGACACACTTTGTTTTCATTTAGTTGGTTAAAAAAAAGTCGGGCTCGGGTCGGGCCAGAGAATCCTGAAAACCTTTTCGGACCGGGTCGGGCTGGGGCTCCACCCCCTCGGGCCGGGCCGGACACGGGCTCAGATTTTAGGCCTGTGCAGGGCTCTAAGTTAGAGTCAGTCTTTGGAGGGCGATAAATCAGCACAACGAGCAGCCGGGGGGAGATGCACAGTTCAAATAAGCACAGTTGGAAGGAAGAAAATGACATGGTGGGTGTAAGCTGTTTACAAGGAAAGCTGGATTTAAAAACAGCAACCAGCCCTCCACCTCTGCCCCGTGATCTGGGGATATTAAAACAGGAGCAACCAGGTGGTACCAGCTCCAGCAGGGCGCTTGAGTCACCAAACGGGATCCAGGACTCACAGATGCAGAGAAAACCCAAGTCATGCTGAATAAAAAAGTCACGAAGTATAAAAGTTTTGTTCAGCACAGACCTGGCATTGACCAGACCAAACCGGGTCTGCGGCGGGGCTGCAGCACCGAGATCGTGCACGGGCCCAGTCTCCTTTAACTGTGTGCCCGTAACCGAGCGCAGATTCTCCCAGCAAACCCCAGTCTGGCGAGATCTTCTAGCCGATCGGCCGTGGCGCATTGCCAGTTCACCCTCAGAGCCGGACAAGTTCCCTGGGCAGGGCGCCGAGTAATCCAGGAGACATCTCAGAACCACCGGGTCAGAAGCTGGGCCGAATCGGGCCAGCCACTTCTTCAGGGATCCAGGCCGACGTTTCACGCGCCGGCTACCTCTCTTTCCCCGTCTTCTCTGATGCTTCCTTCTCGAGCTGGGGCGGACAGAGGGCCAACACATCACGGCTTGGGGGGAGAGAGCACATGGGCAGTCCAACCAGCAGCATCGCCCGTGAGGTTCCCAGCTCGCAGAGCCCGCTACATCAACGGGAGGACGAAGCCTCAGCAGCGCGGCTCGATCGTAAGTCAGCAGAGGATCCACACCATTCAAAAAAAGCATCAGAGACAACAAAAATGCATAAAAGCCAATAAAACGCCAATAAAAGCCAGTAAAAAGAAAGGTACCACTACGTAAAGAGGACGAGCAGCTCGCAGCGTGCACCCGCGCGAGCGCCATCTTAACTCATCTCAACTTACACGTACACACACATGTACACACACACACACACACACACACACACACATACACACACACGCAGCATAAAGCCCCAGCCTTTCCAAACAATTGTATAAAAACTAAAAGGATCCCTTACCCGTAAAAATAGTCCTCCATGCACCCAGTGTACAGCTCAGACACGCTGCCCCACCTGTCTGTCAGGACACCAGGTAAACGCTCTCGCGCAGCTTCTTCTTCTTCTTGTTTATTGGCGGGTGGCAAGGCCGGATTAACCATATGGGCAACTGGGCATTTGCCCAGGGCCCACGAACCTTAAAGGGCCCAGGGCAGCAAGGGCACGAGCAAAATACAGTATCTGTAATTTCCCGCTTTATGAGGACTATGGTGACCGTACGTCCTCTTTTACCCGGACATGTCCACTTTTCACACTCTGTCCGGGCGTCCGGACTGGGGGTTCTTGTATTGATGAAAATGTCCGGTTTTTCATCCAGGAGCAGGGATCGGATTATGGGGGAGCTGTATATCCTACACATCCAGGGGAGCCGGAGAAAAGTTTTCCACCTATATTACATCATTTATGGACTCTTCTGAGCAGAGAGCACAGAGAGCAGCACAGCGATGCTCCAGGCTGCTGCGTCCAGCGCACGGTCCATTCTCAAAGTGGCGCAACCAAAAAACTATAATTAACACACGATGGTTCATGTCCACACATGTTCTCTACTTTCTGTCTTATATGTGCCTGAAGCGCTCTGCTACTGCGGAGCTCATCACCTGTGCTGCGGTGATGTCACCTCACTGACGCAGCATCGAATCGCGCTCTCCGCTTTGCGGTCAGGAGATCTTTGATCTGCTCAGAAGTAACTGATGAGGTGAAAAAGTAAGAATCCAGGCAGCAGATTTTCTGGAGAGTTTAGAGGAGATGCAGGAAGATGTGAGACAGACAGGACAGGAAATAGTTCAATAAAAACAAGAAAACAAAACAAAAAGTAAAATGTAGGTAGATTTATCTCCACTACACGTTTTCACCTGTATAAAACAATAAGTTATACACATGTCATATTTATACATCTGATACAATTCAGATCACCTTCAACACTCAGTCACACACCCAGGGCCGTTTCAAGACATTTTGGGGGCCAAGGCTAAATATGATCACCCTATATTAAACAAACTGTCCACCCGGGCTTTTGCGCTGCACAGAGACGCTTCGCTGCCTATGACTGAACGTCAGTTGAGAGTCAGTCTCATGCAGACTGACCAATGAAGAGAGGGCCTCAAGTTAAGACCCCCTCCTCATTGGTCAGTCCACACGAGGTGGGTCAAAGGTTACCCTGAGCGAGTTACGTGATGTCAGGCATTCAAGTATTGAGTATATTTACTGCATATTACAGTAAAATATTCTGTATGTGACCATATTATGGTGATCCTTGTGTCGTGATGATGGGGTCCTTCAATATTGTTGCCCAGGGTACAACAAAGTGTTAATCTGGCCCTGGCGGGTGGCATCTAACTTCTAGGTGCATTTCCGCCACCTACTGAGCTGGAGTGTGAGTCGGAGTAAGAGTGTATCAAAAAAAAAAACTAAATTCTATTCACTGTGTTTTAGATACTCGATAACCAACCTATATTTCCTTTCTTCACCATTTAACAAAGTCTTTACATTTATCACTCCACCTCCTATGTTTTTTAATTTCTCCCCGAGTTGTCCTTTCCTCATATTTTATGCAGTCACACAAAACATGTTCCACCGTTTCTCCCCCCACCCCACATCCACATCTGATGTTTCCCCATCAGATGCATCGTATTATTAAGCCCACTATGTCCCAATCTTAATCTCAATATTATCCTTTGATCTCTACTATTCATTCTTATATTTTTCCATTTTCCTACTTTCCCTTGTATCTGAAATAAATGTCCTCCTTTCTCTTCCCTTTCCCACTCTTCCATATATATATATATAGTCATGTTCTGTGGTATTCTTTTGACCCACGACATGCAGAATCAGAGACGGGAAGAGGGAGGTAAGAAAATAAATAATTTATTTTAAACTGGAGAACTCAAAGCGCTGCTCAAACTGATGCAGGATGTGCCAGGATGTTCTAAAAGAGAGACAAAGGTTAATATCCGTGAGAGATGATAGGATGGATAACTGAAGGTTTAGGCTTACTGTCAGGAGGTGGCTAGAGGGCATACGAAGGAGCACAGGTTGGTTTATGAAGAAGGGTTGTAAAGGGGTCCTGATGAAGACGAGGTCCAGGGTTCCTGTGTGGTGAGCTTGAAAGGGTAGGCGGTAGGGGCGTAGTGGAGAGCGTACAGCCAGGGGTTGGAGCTGAATGAAGTGGAGCTGATGAAAAGTTCTTGGAAATGGCTGGAGGAGATGGTTCCTTGAAGGGATAAGAGGAAGGATTAATCGTGGTCCTAGTCTGGTAGAAAGCTGCTTCACAAAAACATTTCTTAGTCTAAGTTTTAATCTTTAGCTTAACAATAGATTTTTATTCTGACTCGAACTACCCAGGTTGAGTAATCATCCGGCAAGAGTGTTGAGGAAGTCAGCTCCTTAAATACACCCTGGAGGATGATTGGAGATGAGCTGCAGCTGGCTGTTGCTCCTGCTCTCCAGACACGCCCACCTGCAGACTCTTAGACCTAAAAACATTGATTGTGAGAATAAAAACAGCCCGTGACAGTACCCCCCCCCCGTCAAGGGACGCCTCCTGGCGTCCTGGCAGAGGCAGTGGCAGAGGCCCGGGAGGCCTCAGAGTCCCTAATCAGGGAAGGATCCTCAATAAAGGAGCGGGGTATCCAGGACCGCTCTTCAGGTCCATAGCCCTCCCAGTCAACCAGGTATTGGTATCCACGGCCGCGGCGACGCACATCCAGCAAGCGCCTAACCTGGTAGACGAGACCTCCACCGACAAGCCTGGCCGGAGGGGGAGGAGTAGGAGGGGGGCACAGCGGACTGGCAGACACAGGCTTAATGTGGGAGACGTGGAAGATGGGGTGTGTCTTCATGGATGCTGGGAGGTCGAGGCGGACCGATGAAGGGTTAATGATTGCTGAGATCTTGAATGGACCGATAAAACGAGGGGACAACTTCTTACAGGAGTTCTTGAGATTGATGTTGCATGTTGAGAGCCAAACTGATTGCCCAGGGGCATAGGAAGGGGTGGGCCGTCGATGGCGGTCAGCCAAGCGGCGATTGCGTTCCGCCGTTCTACGAAGAGCCGCTGAGGTGAGGGACCAGGTGCGTCGGGCTTGGCGTATGAACTGTGGCACAGAGGTGGAAGACAAGTTGTCCAAGGGAAACAGAGGTGGTTTAAACCCAAGGGAAGCCTCGAAGGGGGAGAGACCAGTGGAGGAAGAGGTATGGGCGTTGTGGGCATACTCAATCCACGCCAGCTGGGAGCTCCACCCAGAGGGGATGGATGAACACAGGCAACGTAACACCGCCTCCAGTTCCTGGTTCATCCGTTCACAGAGACCGTTGGTCTGGGGATGTAAACCTGAGGAGAGGGCGACACGAGCCCCCAGTTGGGCAGCAAACTCCTTCCAAACCCTGGAGACAAACTGGGGGCCTCGGTCGGAGAGGATCTCAGAGGGGGTTCCATGAAGGCGGAAAACATGTTTAACTAGGAGGGTAGCAGTTTCTGCAGAGGAAGGGAGAGTCTTAAGAGGGATGAGGTGACAGGCCTTAGAAAAGCGATCTATAACTGTAAGGATAACATTGAAACCACGGGATGGGGGAAGGCCGGTGACAAAATCCAGAGCAATATGTGACCATGGTCGTGAAGGGATAGGGAGAGGGTTGAGAAGGCCGTAAGGGGGCTGGTTGCTGCTCTTGTTACGGGCACAGACATGACATGCATTTATATAACTCTTGACGTCCTTAAATAGAGAAGGCCACCAGAAGAAACGTCTGATCAGGCTTACAGTTCTTCCAACCCCCGGGTGTAGGGAAAACTTGGCTGTGTGAGCCCACTGGATGACTGAGGCCCGTACTGTGGAGAGAACGAAAATCTGGTTAGGAGGTCCATTACCTGGATCAGGCTCGGTCTTCTGAGCCTCCAGGACTTTGTCCTTGATGTCCCAAGTGATGGATCCGATTATGCAGGAGGGAGAAAGAGATGGTGGTTCCTGGGGGCGAGCTCGATAAGGGGGTGAAGAAGCCCGGCGCGGTGCTGAAGAAGCAAAAGAGACACTCCCACTACGTTCTCTTAGTCTTTTGTCTATGCGTATGGCCAGGGCAATAAGTTCCTCAAGGGTCGATGGTTCCTGACAGTAAGCCAATTGATCTTTAATGCGATCATTTAGTGCTTGGGCAAAGGCTCCCTTCAACATGTCACCACTCCCAGAGAAGTTGGCTGCTAAAGTCCTGAATTCTATGGCAAAATCCGTTACTGATTGACGTCCTTGATGTAGGTTCCAAATATTCTTAGCCAGCTCCATTTGGGACTCAACGTCCCCAAAATTTAAGTTAAAGTCAGCCAAAAAGTCAGTTAACGGCCCTTGGAGAAAACTAGCTTGGCGACTCCTTGATTCGGCCCATTGCAAGGCTTTGCCCCGGAGTAGACCCACTATATACGATATCTTAGCGGAATCGTTAACAAAAGAATCTGGGGATCTTTCAAATGCCAGTCTACAATGTAGCAAAAATCCCCGGCTTTTGCCGTACTCACCGGAGAAAGTTTCGGGAGGTGGTGAGTCCGCGACCCGGAAATAAAACTGAGCTGCAGACCCCGGAAGTGCCTGTGGGGTGCAGACAGCGGGGCCCGGGGCAGAAGCCTCTGAGGAGGGGGGTCCCGGGGTGGCAAGTTGTGTGTGGACTTGGTGCAACATGGTATCCATCTGAAACAGTCGTTGGTTAGCATTGGAGAGCTGTTCTAACAGAGATTGTATGGCTGATTCGTGGCTGGCGAGGGTTTCAGAGACGGTGGGGGAAACTGATCCTGCGACGGGGTCGGGATTCGGGCCGGATGATTCTGTCATGTTCTGTGGTATTCTTTTGACCCACGACATGCAGAATCAGAGATGGGAAGAGGGAGATAAGAAAATAAATAATTTATTTTAAACTGGAGAACTCAAAGCGCTGCTCAAACTGATGCAGGATGTGCCAGGATGTTCTAAAAGAGAGACAAAGGTTAATATCCGTGAGAGATGATAGGATGGATAACTGAAGGTTTAGGCTTACTGTCAGGAGGTGGCTAGAGGGCATACGAAGGAGCACAGGTTGGTTTATGAAGAAGGGTTGTAAAGGGGTCCTGATGAAGACGAGGTCCAGGGTTCCTGTGTGGTGAGCTTGAAAGGGTAGGCGGTAGGGGCGTAGTGGAGAGCGTACAGCCAGGGGTTGGAGCTGAATGAAGTGGAGCTGATGAAAAGTTCTTGGAAATGGCTGGAGGAGATGGTTCCTTGAAGGGATAAGAGGAAGGATTAATCGTGGTCCTAGTCTGGTAGAAAGCTGCTTCACAAAAACATTTCTTAGTCTAAGTTTTAATCTTTAGCTTAACAATAGATTTTTATTCTGACTCGAACTACCCAGGTTGAGTAATCATCCGGCAAGAGTGTTGAGGAAGTCAGCTCCTTAAATACACCCTGGAGGATGATTGGAGATGAGCTGCAGCTGGCTGTTGCTCCTGCTCTCCAGACACGCCCACCTGCAGACTCTTAGACCTAAAAACATTGATTGTGAGAATAAAAACAGCCCGTGACATATATGTGATTTAATGATAGATTTAATTTCAGCGGCACTATTTGCAATATTTATTATTTCTCTCTCTCTTATTGCCTTTTTCTCAAAAGAATCTGCCATTTCATTTCCTTATACTCCTCTATGTGCCGGTACCCATAAAAATTTAACTTCTGTACCCAATTTCCTTAATCTAAATATGGTTTCATATATTTCATATAAAATATCTATTCGACTTTTGGTAGACATTAATTTAACTGACACTAATACAGATAACAAATCAGTACATATAATTCCTTTTTTAATTCTATTTTGTTCCATCCATTGAAGACTAAATAAGATAGCTATCATCTCCACTGTGTACACAGATAAATGATCTGGAGTTCTTTTCCTAACTACTACTCCTATATGTGGTATCACAAATGCAAAACCGGTTTCCCCCCCTACCAGTTCCTTTGATCCATCTGTAAAGATTTGCACAAGAGACTCATAGCTGTTTAATCTATCTTCTGTAATTTTATCCCAATCTCCTTTCCCCCCACTGCTTCTTATTTTATCATAAATATTATAATCAACACACACTTCTGGAGATATCCATTTTGGATTAACTGTATATAAAAACTTTTTAATTTGTACTTTATCTTGGACCTTGCTCTCTTTTGCCCAATCTTGCACTTTCCAGCTACCATATTCCTTCTTTATTTTCTCCGTTTCCCAACACGGACTCAGTGCCCTTTTTGCCATATGGTCGTTGTCCTCACACCCTCGTATACTTGCCCAATAATTTAAAGCTATCTGTTTTATTCTAAGCTGTATTGGCATCGCTCCCATTTCCACCGGTAGAGCCACAACAGGTGTAGTTTTCCGTGCTCCACAACACACTCTTAATGCTTGACTTTGTATGATTTCAATCCTTTTCATTAATGTTTTAGATGCTGAACTATAAACTATATCCCCATAGTCTATCACTGATCGTATCATTGCACTGTATATGTTTTTTAACGCCTGAGCGCTAGCCCCCCACTCATATCCTCTCACACATCTCATTTTATTTATTACTTTCTTACATCTTTCCTCTATTTTAGTTATATTATCCTTCCATATTAACTTTTAATCAAATATTACTCCTAAATATTTAAACTTATCTACTTGCTCCAACTCTTTTCCATACAATGTTAAATTCTCCATTACTTTCTTCTTGCCTTTTGTAAACACCATACTTTTAGTTTTTTCCACTGAAAATTTGAAACCCCATTCATATGACCAGTTTTCCACCATTTTAATTGCTTCCTGAACTTTCTTTTGCACATATTGGATATTTTTCCCTTTCTTCCATATTGCTCCATCATCTGCAAATAATGCCTTACCAAACTCATTCCCCACATTCTGAAACACATCATCTATCATAATAGTAAATAATATCGGACTAATGACACTTCCTTGAGGAGTGTCATTTTCTACTTCACATCCCCTAGAAAATGTACTTCCTATTGTTACTTGAATATTTCGCTCACTCAAAAAATCTTTAATCCAGTTATACATTCTTCCTCCTACTCCTAATTTTTTAAGTTTAATTAACACTCCCTCTGTCCACACCATGTCATAGGATTTTTCTACATCAAAAAAGACTACCACTAAACTCTCTTTATTAATTAATGCTTTTCTAATTTCTGTTTCTAAATAAACAATTGCATCCATCGTGCCTCTCCCTTTCCTAAATCCACTTTGATACAGTGATATCTTTTTATTTCTTTCTTAATAATCTGTTAATCTATCCACTACCATCCTTTCCATTATTGTACCTATATGAGATGTTAATGCAACGGGTCTATAACTATTTGTACTACTTGATTCCTTTCCTACCCTAATTATTGGTACAATAACTGCTTCTTTCCAATTTTTTTGGCAATGTTCCTGTTTTCCATATCAAATTATAAATCTCCAATAATTTTAATTTCATTTGTTTCCCTAATTGTTTTAACATTATATAGCATATTTGATCTTTTCCTGGACTAGTCATACCTGTTGTAGCTAATGCACGTTCCAACTCAAACAAAGAAAAAGGCAAATCCATAGTACTTTTAAAATTATCTTCCCCATCTCCTCCCCCTTGTATTTCATTTTCTCCTCTAGTTACTTCTCTCCTTTCTCTTCTTTCTTCTGATAAATTATCAGTACTGTGGAATTTAACAAATATTTTAACAAGTACTTCTACTTTTTCCTCATTAGTTACAGCTAATTCATCTCCTACTTTTAACACTGGATAACTCCATCTTTTCCTTTCATTTTTCTTATCATTCCCCAAACATTACTTATCGGCATAGTTCTCCCTATTTGTCCACAAAAAATTCTCCAACTTTCTCTTTTTGCTTTTTTAACAACTCTTCTCACCTCTGCTTGCAACTTTTTATACTTCAGTAAATTTTCCATATTATGTGTTTTCCTTAGTATTTTTAGGCTTTTATTTCTTGCTTTA